GGGGGTGCATTTGCCCGTGGCTGGGGGCCTGTGTGACGGCGCGGTGGGGGGCCCCGGCTCCTGCACCCCCGAAATGGCACAAACAGACTCCACCAGCCGGTAGAATAGAGGTGGTTTATTGCTTCTCCAGCATACAGCACAGCACAGATGTCACCAGGTTACAGGGCAGGCCTAGGATGCCTCAGCCCCCCTTGATATGGGGGGGTCTCGGCTTCTAAACCCCCCAGCCTGTTGCTGAGGCTGCTTCCTCCATGCTCCCAGACAGACACTAACTAACTCTCCTCCAGCCCTGCCCCCCAGCCAGGGCAGCATCCCCCTTCCTTTGTTCCTCCCCATGGGGGTAGCTGGTCAGACAGGTTGAGAGACCCCTTTGCATAGTGACTCATGGCCTATCTTGCTCAGTGGTGCTACAGACAGTGGCCAGTGAGTTAGCAAGTCCCCCCCACTACGTCACAGCCTGCAACATGCAAAGCCCCTCCGCCAGCTGGCTACTCATTCCCTGGTGTGGCTGACCCCCAGTGGTCACTGCAATGTAACTGTCCTGCCGCGCTCGCTGCTCCCAGCGGTCCTTGCTCTCAGACCCCCTCCCTTTCTGTGTTAGGGAAAACAATCTGAATCCAGGCCCATCCCATTGTCCTGGCCCAGCCAAACCCAGACCTCCCGTTGAGTGAGGAGAAGAGGAAGCCGCCTGCCGAATGTGGTGGTCCTAGCTCCTGCCGTTTCGGAGGAGTTGAACAAACGGACTCACGGACAGACAGATGCACAAACTCTCTAAAATATACATTTAGATTAACAAAAGGCACCTTATTATCATTTGGTCTTATTTGCACTGCACACCAGCAAAGTAGGGATCAGGGAACCACAAGTCTATTGGCAGCTCTGCCACTGACTGGCCGCCAGCCCATTTCCACATCCCTTTTCTCCCACTCTCTCTCAGCTGTCTCTGTTTTCACTGTGAGCTCCCTAGGGCTGAGGCTGTGCCTTGCTGTGTGTTTGTACAGCACCTAGCGCACTGGGGCCCAGACCCCGATTGGAACCTCTAGGTGCTACAGTACAGGCCACAATAAAAAGAGGAGTCCCACGACAAGATGAAACACGAAACCCTGGATAGCTAAAGCTCTCCCCTTTCCACACGTAAAGAAAAATCAAGAACTTCCAAAGGCTTCTGACATGCAGCAGGTTGGTTTCTGGCTGGATCCTTTTGTGGTTGGAAATAAACATTTCTGACAGTTGTTAGGCATGAGGCATATAGTGAGAGGCTGAGGTGTAAAGGGCCTCTCTAGGGTGCTGCTTTCGGTCCTGCTCGAGAAGGGAGCTTGTGCAATGCACCACACGTAAAGAAAAATCAAGAACTTCCAAAGGCTTCTGACATGCAGCAGGTTGGTTTCTGGCTGGATCCTTTTGTGGTTGGAAATAAACATTTCTGACAGTTGTTAGGCATGAGGCATATAGTGAGAGGCTGAGGTGTAAAGGGCCTCTCTAGGGTGCTGCTTTCGGTCCTGCTCGAGAAGGGAGCTTGTGCAATGCACGGTGAGCTGAGGCTCAGAGACTCACCCAAGGTCACACCAGAAGTCTGTGGCAGAGACAGCCGGGCATTGTGCTCCAGCCTTCCCCAACCCAGACTAGCTCAGTTCTGCTCTTTCAGGCCTCTCTCCCCTAATGTGCCATTTCCTGGGCACGCAGGGTTCTGTACCAGCCACCGCCTTGGAGGTGGAGGGCGGGAGCCAGTGAATGGGGGGCGGGGGAGATGGCAGGGGCTGCTGTGGAAGACAAAAGCTCCCTATTGGGTCCTTTCCACTGGTTACCATGGATGCCTGGCGTGAGCCCAGACAGGGCCTGGCTAAAACACCTCGCTCCTCGCTCTGGTTCATGCATCGGTCCCAATGGTTGGCCAATGGCCAACAGGGAGGCACTTCTGAGCAGGGCTCAATGCTTGAGGGCAGCGGAGCCTAGCGGTTAGAATACAACGTTTGGGAGGCAGGTTCTAGTCCCAGCCCTGGGAAGGGAGGGGTGTTGTGGCAAATGGGGAAGGGTCGTGGATCGGCTGAGTGGCTCGCTCTGGAGAGGAATCTGTCTGCCCAGCCCGTCACTAGACGCCCCCTGTGCTGCTGTGTCAGACAGTCCTGGCTTCTGCAGCAGAGCCCGGCCAGACTCCAGCTTGGGTGGCTTCCCCCTCCCCTCCAGATTCACCCGGCCGTTGAACTGTCCTTGCCGTAGCCTCCTGCAGGCAGGAGCATTGCTCCGCACGGCCAGTCAGCTGCCACGCTACCCCAGAGGTGGCTGCATTTCCCCGATCCCCAGGGCACAGGCTGCGGGTCCATTTGTCGTATGGCACGCGCTGCAGAAGGGGAGGGCGCAAGGAGATCCTCGCCGTTCAAGCCTCAGGCAGCTCGGGGAGGGCTGAGAACTGTGCTCTCCACCTGCCGCCTGGGCCGTGCCCCTGCGGGTGGGCTCCCTCCCTCCCCCGCGGCGGCAGGGGCAAATTGCTTCCGCCCATTAGCATCTGACAAATAACCACAGAGAGAGAAAACGTCCCCGGCAGGATATGAACAAGCTGCCTTCGGCGTGCACCGACCGAGCGTCACTCTTTTTCCATTGCCTATCGCCCCATCTCGCCTTCCCCTTCGAGCGGAACCCGCGGCTCCCTCGGGGGCTGCAGCAGGCTGGGGTGCAAGAGCCGGGGCAGGGGCAGAGACCCAGCAAACTGCCCTGCTAGGGCAAGATGGGACTGGCATGTGCAGGGGCCATTCCTGAGCC